GAAAAGGACATTAATTGAAAAATAATAAAATCTGAAAAAATATTTGAAGTTTAGATAATAGTAATGTAGCAATAGTAATGAGTAACCAAGTTTCTCGGTTTTGACAGATGTATCACAATAAACTAGAATGATACTTTTTTCTTTTTTATTAAGAGATTTTATTTATTTACTTGAGAGAGAGGGAGAGAAAGAGAGAGCGAGTACACAGACGGAGAGGGAGAAGCAACTCTCTGCTGAGCAGAGAGCCTGACATAGGGCTCGATTCCAGAACCCTGAGATAATGATGTGAGCTGAAGGCAGACATTTAAATAAGTGAGCCTCCCTGGCACCATTAAAGTAGGATATTACAATAGGGGAAAACGGAAAAATAGGAAAAAAAATGTTAAAATAGGCGAGACTTGTGTCACAGTAAAATTTTCTTATATCCAGAATTATTCTAAAATTTAATAATATATTTAAAGTAACTACTTAAAACTGGTTTCAGTGGAGAAATCACCACTTTCATAGGCGTTAGGCCCAGAAAGGGATATTCGTGTTATACCACATTCCTCACACTAACATTAAAATGACCCTCTCAGGACACTCAGGCACAGTTTTATAAACCTTGATATGTCCAATGTCTCTAATTTTATAGTAATGGGGAAGAATTCAGGAGTGCAAATCTCCTTGGGGACTTTTCATATCACAACTCACTGAAGGATCAAAATAAAATACATAATTATTATAAATCAAGTTAGCATATTGAGCATGTTATATTTAGTGTAGGAAAGTATTGTCATGCTTACATTTTTTATGACTGTCTAGAATCATTGCAGTTAAAGAAATAAAATCATCAATATGTATGAAGAAATTTTGAAAATTGAATCAAGTAGAAAACTTCTCATAGTCTTGTACTTTGTCTTTTTTTGCCTTAGTAAATGGAATGCAGTTGATTTGTTATTTACCACTTAATGAAAAACCCCTAACTTAAAAGATGGTTACATGTTAACTACTTGATAGTGTGGGTTTTCAACAGACTAACTTTTCAAATGTGGGCTTTACAACTCCTGAGTGGAAAATAGAAAAAAAACCCTAGTTGCATCATAGTAAATGCTCTAAATTCTTTTCTTTTTCTTTTTTTTTTATTTTTTTATTTTTATTTTTTTATAAATTAATTTTTATTGGTGTTCAATTTACCAACATACAGAATAACACCCAGTGCTCATCCCGTCAAGTGTCCCCTTCCGTGCCCGTCACCCATTCACCCCCACCCCCCGCCCTCCTCCCCTTCCACCACCCCTAGTTCGTTTCCCAGAGTTAGGAGTCTTTATCTTCTGTCTCCCTTTCTGATATTTGCCACACATTTCTTCTCCCTTCCCTTATATTCCCCTTCACTATTATTCATATTCCCCAAATGAGTGAGAACATACACTGTTTGTCCTTCTCCGATTGACTTATTTCACTCAGCGTAATACCCTCCAGTTCCATCCACGTTGAAGCAAATGGTGGGTATTTGTCATTTCTAATGGCTGAGGAATATTCCATTGTATACATAGACCACATCTCCTTCATCCATTCATCTTTCGATGGACACCGAGGCTCCTTCCACAGTTTGGCTACTGTGGACATTGCTGCTATAAACATCGGGGTGCAGGTGTCCCGGCGTTTCATTGCATCTGAATCTTTGGGGTAAATCCCCAACAGTGCAATTGCTGGGTCGTAGGGCAGGTCTATTTTTAATTCTTTGAGGAACCTCCACACAGTTTTCCAGAGTGGCTGCACCAGGTCACATTCCCACCAACAGTGTAAGAGGGTTCCCTTTTCTCCACATCCTCTCCAACATTTGTTGTTTCCTGCCTTATTAATTTTCCCCATTCTCACTGGTGTGAGGTGGTATCTCATTGTGGTTTTGATTTGTATTTCCCTGATGGCAAGTGATGCAGAGCATTTTCTCATGTGCATGTTGGCCATGTCTATGTCTTCCTCTGTGAGATTTCTCTTCATGTCTTTTGCCCATTTCATGATTGGATTGTTTGTTTCTTTGGTGTTGAGTTTAATAAGTTCTTTATAGATTTTGGAAACTAGCCCTTTATCTGATATGTTATTTGCAACTATCTTCTCCCATTCTGTAGGTTGTCTTTGAGTTTTGTTGACTGTATCCTTTGCTGTGCAAAAGCTTCTTATCTTGATGAAGTCCCAATAGTTCATTTTTGCTTTTGTTTCTTTTGTTTTCGTGGATGTATCTTGCAAGAAGTTACTGTGGCCAAGTTCAAAAAGGGTGTTGCCTGTGTTCTCCTCTAGGATTTTGATGGAGTCTTGTCTCACATTTAAATCTTTCATCCATCTAAATTCTTTTCTAAAGACCTGTATAGTAGGTGATAAACTATCTTATCAGTGCTTCAAATATATTGGCTGTTGGACTTATGCTTAATTAATTGATTAATTGAAAATTTAACAAACCTTTACTGAGAAATTAGTGTGAACCTGACGATAAAGTATGTATCGGAAGGGAAGTCGTCAGTAAAGTATCAAAGTCACGCTTCTTGTGTACAGTATGTTCTAGGTAGAGAAGAAGATGGACAGATGAACAAACAGACTAAATACAATGATAATAATAGTTGACTACTGATAGGGACTGTGAAGAATAGAACAAGTTGGGAACGGTGTCCACTGAGGATTTGATAACATTTAAGCAAAGACTTGAGGGAAGTGAGGGAGCTTTCTGAGCATTGGCAATAGCAAATATAAAGGCCCTGAGGTAGGAGGGAGCTGAGATTTTTCCAGAAACACCAGGGAATTCAGTGGGAGTGAAGTGGAGGGAGGGAGAAGGGTGGCAGGACATGATGTTGCTCATCTGAAACTGAAGTGTCCCTGCATGAGGTCACTAGCCATCGCATAGAATTTCCAGAGGGAAAAATAGATAACACGATCATTACTTAGGGCATTTATCTTATACAGTTGAAGAGTTGGTAGTCCTCCATAGAAAAATTGACAAATTGCTTTATTATCAATCGATCCCCTTTTCTTGTTCTCTGACCTTCTTGCTTTTGAAAGCTATCATGTGACCCTACTTTTTCTACCAAACGACTTGCTGAGGACAAATATTCACTCCTTTAGGATATTATAGCTCTGAAAAAATAGAGGCTAACAAAATCTACCTTTATTTATTTCTTTATTTTTCAATGGTTTAATTATACTAGGCTCCCTTCCAAATATTCTTTTATTTATTTATTTATTTATTTATTTATTATTTATTAATTTTAAAAGTTTTAAGAATTTTTATTTATTTATATATTCATGAGAGACACACACACAGAGGCAGAGACATAAGCAGAGAGAGAAGCAGGGTTCATGCAGGGAGCCCGATGTGGGACTCGATCTCGGGATTCCAGGATCACACCCTGGGCTGAAGGCAGACACTCAACTGCTGATCCACCCACGTGTCCCAAAATATTCTTTTTTTAAATTTAAATTTAATTAGCCAACATATAGTACATCATTAGTTTCAGAAGCAGTTTTCAATAATTCATCAGTTGCATATAACACCCAGTGCTCATCACATCACATGCCCCCTCCTTAATGCCCGTCACTGTTCCCCCATCCCCCCACTCCCCTCCCCTCCTGCAACCCTCAGTTTGTTTCTCAGAATTAGGAGTCTCTCATGGTTTGCCTACCTCTCTGACTTTTTCCCATTCAGTTTCCCCTCCTTCCCTTATGGTCCCTTTCACTATTTCTTATATTCCACATATGAGTGAGACCATATAATGATTGCATTTCTCTGATTGACTCATTTCACTTAGCATAATAGTCTCCAGTTCCATCCACACCAGTGTAAATCCTTTCTGATTGCTAAATAATATTCCATTGTATACATACACCACATCTTCTTTATCCATCCATCTGTTGAAGGACATCTTGACTCTTTCCACAGTTTGGCTATTGTGGACATTGCTGCTATGAACATTGGGGTGCAGGTCTACCTTTATTTAAAAATCCATGTCATGTTCTTCATTTAGATTCTTGGAGTAATTTTTTAAGTAGAGAAATAAAAAATCCTAGATTTTAATTTATACTCTGATCCACAATTAATTATTTTCACTTTTTATTAAAAGCTAGCCATGTTTCAGCTCCCGCCTTTTTTTTGTACTCATGATATTTATTCATTAGCTGCAATGATATATTTACATTACATATCATGTAACATGTAACTATTACTGTTTTACACTTTCACATTTAGAAACTGATTCTTCTTAGTCAAATTCTTTTTTAAATAAATTTATTTTTTATTGGTGTTCAATTAGCCAACATATAGAATAACACCCTCAGTGCCCATCACCCAGTCATCCCCACCCCCCGCCCACCTCCCCTTCCACCACCCCTGGTTCGTTTCCCAGAGTTAGGAGTCTCTCATGTTCTGTCTCCCTTTCTGATATTTCCCACTTATTTTTCTCTTTTCCCCTTTATTCCCTTTCACTATTTTTTATATTCTCCAAATAAATGAGACCATATAATGTTTGTCCTTCTCCGATTGACTTATTTCACTAAGCATAATACCCTCCAGTTCCATCCACATCGAAGCAAATGGTGGGTATTTGTCATTTCTAATGGCTGGTTTATGTGTACTATGGAATATTCCTCAGCTCCCTCCTTTAACAAATTTCCCACTCTTGTGTATTTGTGCACACATGGATCCTTGCACGCACTTCTTTTCATGGGCTTGAGCCCTGTTTTACAGATATGCTTGCATCAGCATGTGGTGGAGAAAATGTGAACAGTATGAATAAATCAGTTATAATTAATAAGGTTCATGGTAAGCATGACCATTAAATATTTAAAGTCCTCATGGCTATTCTCATCCAGATGTTACACAACTGGACATATTCTTTTTTTTTTAGTAACAGAATTTTGAAGAGGAAAGTATCATGTCAGTAATTTAAATGCACTGTGGGCTGTAAACTGTGAGTTTGTGCATAATGAAAATCTGACAAAGATGAAGCTAGGTGACTGTGGATCCTACAGCCCTAAGAGGTGAAGCTTAAAGGCAGTTTTACCTTCTCAACAACTTTATTGAAAGCATTCTTGACCTCTTTGTTCCTCAGGCTATAGACCAGGGGATTCAGCATGGGGATGATCATAGAATAGAACACAGATGCAATTTTGTCTGTGTCCACAGAGTAGCTGGAGGTGGGCTGTATGTACATGAAGATGAATGACCCATAGAAGATGGACACTGCAGTGAGGTGGGAGATGCAGGTGGATACGGCCTTTAGGTATCCCTCCACCGAGGGCATCTTCAGGATGGTGATAAAAATGAACAAGTAGGAAATCAAGATAATGAGGAGAGCAAAAAATATGTTGAAGACTGCTACAAAGACAAGAACTAGCTCACTGACATGTCTATTAGAGCAAGAGAGAGTCAGGACTGCCGGTACATCACAGAAAAAGTGATGGATCACATTGGAATTACAGAAGGAGAGCCTAAAAATGTTCCAAGTATGGATTGAGGTGTTTAAAAATCCACAGAAGTAGCAGCCTATGGATAGCCAAGCACACACCCCTGTTGTCATGGTGGTGGTGTAATGGAGGGGTTTGCACACGGCCACATAGCGGTCATAGGCCATTGAGGTCAAGAGATAATTTTCCACAGTGGCAAAGGCTACAAAAAAGAACATCTGAGCAGCACATGCATTGTAGGAGATGACCTGGTCTCCTCTAAGTAACCCAGCCATGACCTTGGGAGTGACAGCTGTAGAGTAACCAAAGTCCACCAGCGACAGGTTACTGAGAAAAAAGTACATGGGAGTGTGGAGATGGGAGTCCAAGAGAATCAGCATCATCATGCCCAGGTTCCCAGCCAGAGTGATGAGGTAAATGAGGGTGAACATGATAAAGAGGGGGATCTGTAGCTCTGGGGCATTGGTTAGTCCCAGTAGGATGAACTCAGTCACTTCTGTGTTGTTCTTCATGCATATTGTTGGGAATCACAGGATGCCCTGTAGCCACAGGAAATAAAGGAACAGTTATAAACAAATGAGATAGTGAAGTGAAACTCATTCAATTTTGTGTTCTGTGTGCATGTGTTGTATATACATACACTATTTCATTATGGCAAGAACTTGTTCTTGCAAGATTCTCCATATCTAAAGTATGGAATAGACAATAAATGTTAAGGCACAAATTATCTGTAGAGTTTGACACTGTTGAAGCTGAAACATATTCATGGATTATTTTCTAAGTTTTCAGTTTTGTAAATTTGTAAACAGAGGTGTAGAGAATGTAATGTCTTGATTTTGATGAATCATCTAGAAATAATATATCTGTCAATTCAGTTTTTCTGAACCTAGTACGTGCTTATATCTATGGTTCTTATGTGCCAGGAACTGCTCCAGACATATTATATGAATATTTATTTATTACTCTCAACAAATCCATGAGATTTATTACTTGTTATCCCCATTTAATTTATGAAGTACAGAGCTTGAATATTGTATTTTTGAGTTTGCACAATTATTACTGCCAAAGTCAAATTTTGCACCCAGGCAGAGTGATTCCCATATCCACTGATCTCAATTGAATTTAAATTAAATTGAATTTAACTCAGTTAACAATCACACTATGTCTCCCATGTCCTGAACTCAGAGTTTCACAGTGAAGTAACAGGGAGAGATGTGCATAGACCATGTGCTGGGATATGGCAGCAGCAGGGTCTCAGACAGCCAGCAGAGGCAGTCTGAGGGGTGGGCATCATCTAAAGTAAAGCTTGGGCTCTGGGACCAGGGGCATGTCAGCCCTATCATTCTCTCCTGGAGAGTCATTGGTACTACCTTAACTCCCAGAACCTGTTTTTCTTTATCTACAACATGGAAATAGTAATGAGACCTCACTCAAGGTATTATTAGAAGAAATAAATGATATATAAAACCAGTAACCACAATGCCAAGTATTTAACACAGCCTGATCAGTGTAAGGTATAATGTCAGTATTAGGATAGAAAGGTAGCCTCTCTGGTGGTTTCAGAAATGTCAGGGGTGATGTTCAAAGCTTGGTTAGCCTCCATCTTCAGTATGGCTTATAGTGCATACTTGGTCCCCTGGGACCTTCTGTGTCCTTAGTGTTGCTCAATCTGTCTGTCCTCTGCCTGCCTGAGTGGCTGTTCCAGCGCCTGCATGCGAGTCATTGTTTGGCTTGATTTCTTTCTGAACACCCATGTTTTAGCTTGGGTTGACAGTGTCCCCACCCCCTTTTTAAAAATGATTTTCTTTATTTGAGAAAGAGAATGTGCATTAGCAAGAGTGAGGGGCAGAGCGAAAGGGAGAAGCAGACTCAGGGCTGGATCCCAGGACCCTGAGACCATGACTTGAGCCAAAGGCAGACACTCAACCCACAGAACCACCCAGGAGCTCCAAAAGTGTCCCCTTTCTTAGACTCATTATCTCTTTATGGTTATCCCATAGTTGAATCACAGGGATCAATGGGTGGAGGTTTCTAGTTTGCTGGTATCTTTAGCTTGTAGATCTGTGTTTGGGCCCATTGCATGTCTTAATATACTTTATTTGAATATAATCTTGTATGTAGGAATTTTGTTTTTTTTCTTTACATTTGACTTGATAGACTTTAGAAGGTCATTTGTCACTTGTCAATCATTGGTTTACTGCAGTTCTCCTTAATTCTTTTGAGTTAGTGGTTGAGATAAAATTAAGACCTATTTAATCAGAACATAACCTATCTATCTTATTTTTACTAATGTCATTTAGAAGAATGGCATGATAATGTTTCACAATTATCAGTAAACTCCCTGTAGATGGAAGTTTTGATACATATATCCAGCCTCAACTCACTGCTTTAGAAATTTATTTCTGTGCTTAAATAACCTGTAGCAGGTATAGATGTCCTATTGGTTTTGCTTGAATTACATTTCTCACTAAGAGTGCAGATAGAATATAGAAGCTTACCTTGCTACTGGAAGAGAAGGAGCAGTCAATCCTGAATAGTGAGTTTGGAATCAGAAATTCAGCTATGGGATGATGCAAACATAAAGTGAGAAGTAGTCTCTATCAGACACTGGTAAAGTAGTTCCAAGATCTCTAAGGTAAATGAGAGGAAGAACACAATATGAAGCCAGGAACCCATGTTCAAGTGTCAAATTCACCATGCATTCTTTGTGTGCCCTTGGAGGAGTCCCTTATATTCTTCTTATCTCTAAAACAAAGCAGAAAATTACCTCACCTATATACAATACAAGCAGTAGTTTCTGTGAATAGCAAATGAGGGATCCTCTATAAAACACCTGCCTGAGGTGAATATAATTTTCATCTTGAGGTACTTTCTCTGGCCATGATTGGAGGTTCATGACAAATCCTCAGGTCAGGATTTGAAGGTGGGAGGAGAGTATGGTATGTACTAACAGCCACTAACCTTCAGACAAATAGATGATGGCCAGAAGGGCTGGGCACATGTTGGATCCTTCTCAAATAAGATCACACTGAGTCATCTTGGGAGTTTTAGAAACTAACTCATGGGCATCAGGAAGGAGTTTCAGAGAAATGAGCTCTCTGGGCATGTCCCCCAGGAGGTCATTTGTAGCTCTTATTTTCCGAGGAAAGAATAAATTAAATTGCCTATGGGGACTTAGTTGGATGTGTTAATGGTGGACACATAGTTTTGTTTTCCCTATACTTTGTAATTAAAGTGTAATTTACAGATAATAATTTTTAATAGGTTTACATTATAGTTTGAAAAACTGTTCAAAGTGGTCAAATTTCTATGGTCATGGAACCACTAACACAATCATGATGTGGAAGAGTTCCATCATCTAAAGAAAATCTCTGAGCTTCTTTGTCATCAACCCCTTTCTTACCTAATGCCCACGGTGACCACTAAACCATTTTCTGTCTATATTGTTTTGTCTTTGCAAGAAGGTCACCTAAACAGAATCTTAGCACATGGAGCCTTTTGACTCTGGCTTCTTCCAGTTAGCATGGTGCATCTGAGACCCATCCATACTGTTAGCTGTATTAATTTCCTAGAGCTGCCATAACAAAGTACCACAAACTGAATGGCCTATATAATGGAAATTTATTGTCTCATATTTCTGGAGCTAGAAGTCTGAGATCAAGGAACTGGCAACGTGGTTCTGTTGGGTCCCTCTGAAAGCCGTAAGGGCGCATCTGCTTCATGTTTTTCTCTTAGCTGCTGGGTGGTTTGTTGGCCATCTTTGGTGTTCCTTGTCTTCTGCTGTCATCCTGATCTCTGTGTTCATCTTCCCATGGTGTTCTCCTTGTGGTATGGCTCCAAGTTTTCCCCTTTTTTTGGTATTTTTTTAAATTGGAGTTTGATTTGCTAACATATAGAGTAACACCCAGTGCTCATTCTGTCAAGTGCCCCTCTCAGTGCCTGTCACCCCATTCCCCCCCACCCTCCCTTTACACTACCCCTTGTTCATTTCCCAGAGGTAAGTGTCTCTCATGTTCTGTCTCCGTCACTGATATCTCCCATTCATTTTCTTTCCTTTCCCCTTTATTCGCTTTCACTATTTTTTACATTCCCTGTATGAGTGAAACCATATAATGTTTGTCATTTTCTGATTGACTTACATCACTCAGCATAATACCCTCCAGTTGCACATTGAAGCAAATGGTAGGTATTTGTCATTTCTAATGGCTGAGTAATATTCTATTGTATACATAGACCACAGCTTCTTTATCCATTTATCTTTCAATGGACACCAAAGCTCTTTCCACAGTTTGGCTATTCTGGACATTGCTGCTATAAACATTGGGGTGCAAGTGTCCTGCTATTTCACTGCATCTGTATTTTTTGGGTAAATCCCCAGCAGTGCAATTGCTAGGTCATAGGGTAGTCATATTTTTACCTCTTTCAGGAACCTCCAAACAGTTTTCCAGAGTGGCTGTACCAGTTCACATTCCCATCAATGGTGCAAGAGGGTTCCCCTTTCTCCACATCCTCTCCAACATTTGTTGTTTCCTGTCTTGTTCATTTTTCCCATTCTCACTGGTGTGAGGTGGTATCTCATTGTGGTTTTGATTTGTATTTCCCTGATGGCCAGTGATGCAGAGCATTTTCTCATGTGCTTGTTGGCCATGTCTATGTCTTCTTTGGTGAAATTTACGTTCATGTCTTTTGCCTATTTCATGACCAGATTGTTTGTTTCTTTTCAGTTAAGCTTAATAAGTTCTTCATAGATCTTGGAAACTAGCCCTTTATCTGATAGGTCATTTGCAAATATCTTCTCCCATTTTGTACGTTGTCTTTTAGTTTTGTTGACTGTTTCTTTTGCTGTGAAGAAGCTTTTTATCTTGATGAAGTCCCAATAGTTCATTTTTGCTTTTGTTTCTCTTGCCTTCATGGATGTATCTTGCAAGATGTTGTTGTGCCAGTTCAAAAAGGGTGTTGGCCTGTGTTCTCCTCTAGGATTTTGCTGGATTCTTGACTCACATTTAGATCTTTCATCATTTTTTTTTTTGTGACCACATCATATTTGCTTTTATTTATTTTTATGCTACAGAGAGATGGGCTTTACAGGCTGGAAGAACTATTGAGTATAGAATCGATTGTCCTGAGAAAGAGTTTTTCCTCTGGCATTTGATGGAGTGTATTTGGTTTAAAGCCACAGAGTGGTCAGAAGAAAAAATCAAGAACTAATAATATGTCTTAATTACCGAGCTATAACATATCTTTTACTCTGAGAATGTTACGTATTTCTGAAGTGCCTACACGAGTGGGTCATTGTCCAGCCTTGTATTGGAGTCAGACCTGCATAGGGCTTGGCCTTAGCTATTCCCGCCAGTGCCTCCCCCCCCCCCCCGCCGCAGTGCCCCTTCGGAGATAGGCCAGCCTTGGGCGCTGCTCGCCAGTCCACCCTCGGCAGTGCTCGGGCTCATCTCGGTTGGATTCTGTCCCGAACAGAGCTCTCGGCTTCCTCATCGTGCCTCCAGTCGGATTCCAA